GCTCTCCCACTTTGCTCTCCTGCTGTGTGACTTGCTCATGCTGCCTCTCCCTCTCCCTCACTCACTCGCTCTGTTTGCTTTGGCGTCGCATGCGCGACCGTTTACGTTCTTCAGTTGATTTTCGACTCGCGAACGGAGCGCAACGCACGCTTTACGAGTGCGTTTTCATTTTTGTTATTGTTGTAAAAAATTAAAAACATAAAACAAAAGCAAACGTCGAGCCAACAACAATAGCAATAACAACAGTAACAACAACAATCAACAGCGCAAAATATAATCAAAACGTAAATAAAAAGTTTATATTTGTTGATAACAAACCTCCAAAAAAAAAAAAAAAAAAAAAAAAAGAATACAAAAATTAAAAACAAAAACAAAAAAGTGCTGAAAGAGCTTTAAAACTGATCAAGATTTCCGACGCGATGATTCAGCGGCGAATCGATCGCTTATTTTGTTGTTATTTTGCATATTGAATGTGTTTAATGAAATTGAATAAATAATAATTAGCTCTGGCTGAAGCTGCTCCTACACCTTGGCCTTATCATCATTTGTGTGCGCTTATAGCCGTAATCGTAGCCCCGCCAGGTCTTCCAGCAAATACCGCGACCCGTTAGCTTCTTCTCATAGCTACCGCCGGCCATATACTGTCCATTCAAATTGCTGTAATCGAGCGAGAGAGAGAGAGAGAGAGAGAGATATTATTCGTTATAAGTGAAAGGTGAAAAAATAAAATAATAAATAAAATAAAGGGAGTATTAACTAACCTATGTTGACATTGATTATACCACCAGGCACCGACATTAGTCAGGGCACAGTTCTTGCCGGTCTTATCGTTATCAAATGTCGAGAACGCTTTGCCCACATGATAGCTCAGCGAATCTCCAGCATCTCCAGTAAATTTGCCCAATTGACTCAGCGCATATGATTCAGACTCATTTGCCACCACGAATCTATCGTATTTCGCATAATGCGTCTCGCCGTCAAAGTCCTCCAGATGTATGTATAGTTCGTAGGGTTCGGCATTCGTTATGTGATGCAGCTTCTCGAGACCAATAAAGAATTCGGCATTTAGTTGCCCAAAACCCGCCTGGTACTCAGACCAGCTGCGATAAAAGTTCTCGCTGCCATCCTGACGTCTCTGGATCACTGTCCAGCCAGCGCCCGCCGTCCTCGTGTCACAGGCCACAGGAAAAGGCTTCAGGCCCGGCACCCAGATAGTGTATATACCATCTGTATTGATCATAGCCGCCAGGCATGATGGGGGATGAGCTAAACGAGCAGATAAACGAGTTATATATACTCTATAAGACTTTATAATAGTCGCACTTTACCTGTTTCTTCAGTTTTTTGTGCTGTTAAATCTGCTCTCAGCCTAGACAATTCTTTCTTTAAACTTCATATATATAGAAAGCTATTTATTTATTTATTTTTGCAAAATGTCGAATTAAGTAAAATACCTTGAAATTAGTTGTTCAGCATTTTCGTATATATTTGTTGAACTTGAACTTTTGGCATAAAATGTAAGATTTCCGAAAAGGAAGAATACTACATAGTATATATTATTCATATTTACAACTGATCTTTAATATGATCTTCTCCCAGCATCTCATAATCAAGACTAAATTATAATAGGTTGCATTTACATTTGAATTAAAAGTGAGATTTGATTAGAATTATACCCTGTAAATGAAGTGGGTAAGAGGTATAATGAGTTCTGGTCAGTTAAAAAAAAAAATAAGAAATGTTTTTATATGGATTGTTTGGGTATAAATTCATATGATTATGACCTCTGACTAGCCTTATGATGTTACCCTTGTCGAGCTTAATTTGGATTGCCTAAAAATCGTTTAACCTGTGATTCACATTTAATTATTATGCATAATGTTTATAAGCCAATAAAAACATTTAATTATGTATAAAAATATGTATATAATTAATTTAATAGGTGCATACTAAATTTTTTAATATAAAAAATATATCAAACAATTTTTATATTAAATTAAATTCAATAGAAAAGAACTAGGGAAAATAAATAATGAAATACTTACCAAATTTAGTATATGAGTCAAAATTTAATCGAGTACAGCATGATTGAGTATTACTAAATAGAATATATACTTTAGACCTCGTTACAGCGAATCACCTTGCGCATTCCGATTTGCTAATGTCTAGAATTTCTTATCAGCAACGAACAGAATACAAAACATAGGTCAAATTATGCACATAGATATGGAGCTGTGTATTTATGCAATGCAGGAAATAGTATACTAGGTATAAATTTGTGGAAAAAAACATACTTAAATATATATGAATATATGCCTAAAGAAACCAGGAAATAACATGATTGGAATATATTTAAATCCTATCCAAATGGCTAAGATAATGCTTCGCAGTGTTGTCTCGTGTTGTTGTTGCTCCTGAAGGTAGCTGGAAAGTGTCGGCATTTGGGTCTGATCATCATTTGGGTGAACTTGTAGCCATAGTTGTGGCCACGCCAGGCTCTCCAGCACATGCCGCGCGCGAAGAGATTCTCTTCATATTTACCGCCCTCAATATATTGCCCATTGAGATTACTAAATCGAAGAGTAGAAATATGTATATCATATATCGATAGATAGATATATTCACCTGTCCACACAACTATTGTACCACCAGGCACCCACGTGGAGAAAGGCACAATTCCTGTGGAACTCTCGATCGTTGTCCCGATCGTAGGTCGAGAATTTCATTTTCTGATGACTTCTCAACGAGTCTCCGGCATTTCCCGAATAGGCGCCCAACACATAGAGCGCATAGTCATCCTCCTCGCTACCAATGGCAAATTCATCAAATCTCGCTGATCGCGTGGTTTGATTAAAGTCCTCCAGGACGATATACAACTCGAAGGGCTCCAAGGCAGTTATGGCACGCAGTTTCTCCAGTCCAATGAAAAACTCGCCATCGAGACTACCGAAGCCTTGCTTGTACTCCTCCCAGTTGCGATAGAAGTTCAAGCTGCCATTGATGCGCCTCTGTATCACCAGCCATCCGTATCCAGCCAAACAGTTATCACAGGCTACGGAAAAGGGAGCCATACCTGGTATTTTAATCGTACGAATTCCATTTGCAATTTTACTTTCATTGAACGAAGACGTCAAGCAGGATGTGGGATAGCTTTTCTCTATAAATGATCTTTATAGAAAGATCATTATATATGTGTGAATTTTAGATTTGTTCTTACCATCTTTGGATGAAGTGGAACTATTTGGGTTTACATATGCCTTCAGTGCTCCCAGCTGTTCCTGTAGACTTTAAAAAGATTTCGTTCTGTATTAGATTGTAATTTTCTTCTCCTTTGACATACTTAAGAACCAGCTCGTGCATCGTTTCTATGGGATGTGCCAGATCTTGACACTAATGAAGATAGTTGATAGTTAATTTTGATAGTTTATATTAGTTGTACATATTTTTACCTGCGCATTGTTTACGAGATAGAAATATGTAAAATATATGCATAATGAATAGAGCAACTTTACTACGTTCGTTCTATTGAGCTTCATCTTTGCAACTATTCAGGGAGTAAATTGCACTGAGACAGCTATATTATATGTATTATTATCAGAAACGATTATCAGCTAGCTAATAAATCATAGATCAGGGATCAAGATCTAACATAATGTCGATTGCAATCATCAGATTAATTTAATATTTTTATAAATAAGATAATAAAAATATATCATTTTAAATATATTAAAAAAAAAGAGTATATACTTTTTAATATATTCAAAAAATGTATAGAAAATATAATATATATTTTTATATAAAGAAAGAGTTCTGTAATATTTCTGCTTCGTTTTTACATAGACAGATATATATTATATTTTTTATGCAAATCTTTAGATGACTAACGTTAATTCATTTTGTTAAATGCCTAGATCTTAAACTATAGATAATATAGACTTTTCCGCTGGGTTCGCCCATTTAGCCTTGACATTTTTATACGCGTTAGATATAGAAGAAGACTTTGATATTGTAGAAGTCTTTATATGCATACTAAAACTAACAAGTCTATAGCTATATTTGCGCCATAAATATTAACGTATGTGTGGTAAAATACAATATATAGATCCCAGAGTGTGGCAATTTATGGGACGAGGTTGCACGACTGTAAAAAAATGAATAAATTTATGAATATTTGAATAAATATAAAATCTCCATTTACAATAGAAATACTTGGAATTCATGGGAAATACCTCTCTAGAGTCAGTTGAAATTGACAGAAATCTAGTCAGAAAGATTTTATAGAAAGCCAATATACTCGCTTCAACATTGTGTAGGAGCATATCAAGCGTATTTGCAGTTATTTATATAATAAACAAACGTCTATTTGTCGTTAAAGTAAAACGAGAAATGAACCTATATAAACGTAAGGAATTATACATAAATCTCAATTGCTTATATATGCGTATATCAATCTGAATACACTCACATGAGACTTATGTATGCTTGTGTGTGTGTATCTGCTCATATATGCTTAGGCACGTGGGCTTTATTTTGTAGATTCTGTGGGAGCTATGCGCCCAATGCCTGTCAAACTGTGCAGCGTCTGGCATTCATTTTACGGACTGTTTGCGCTTGGTTGATTGTTTTTGTTTTTGTTTTTGTTTTTTATCGAGGCGTCAATCTAAAGAAAAAATAAGCAACGAAACAAGACAAGACATAAATATATTTCTATATGTGCATACATATATAATAACATATATATATATCCACATATAATAGTTATAGAAACTGAGTTATTAAGGCGTGTGGGTGGCGACAGTTGCTGCTGGCTTGAGCGCGTCTTGAGTCTGTGGCCTCCGCCTCAGCCTCAGCTTCAGCTTCAGTCTTGGTCTAGAGTCTGTGCCGCAAAGTAAAGCGTAAAATGCGTCTAATGCGACGCGCTCCGAGCCACAAAGTAAACTTGGCTTTCAGATAATTTAGCCTGCCTAATAACTCTATGTGTATTGTCTCTTGTCTTTTAGATGGCCATACCGCCACCACCGGGTCCTCCGCCACCGCCAGGACCGCCACCGCCACCGGGCTTGAGCGGCCTCAAGCTAGGTGGTGGAGGAGGAGGAGGAGGAGGAGCGGATCCACGGTCAGCTCTACTCAACTCCATACAGAAGGGCACCAAGCTGCGCAAGACGACAACTGTGGACAAGAGTGGGCCAGCTCTGTCGGGGCGTGTCTGTGATGGCGATGCTGGAGCTGCACCGAAACGCAGCCTCAACAACAACAACAACAACAACAACAGCATGAGCAGCAACAACAACAACATGGGCAATGGAGCACCCAAATTGGGTGGCCTCTTCGAAGGCCTCTCACAGATGCCAAAGCTGAAGCCAGTGAATGGTGTCCGTGGTAAGTTTTGAATAAAATAGTTATAGTTCATGCAAATGTCTGCTGTTGCTCAATTGATTTCCGTTTTGCACCCACACCAAAACAGCGGCACCAGCTCCAGCGCCAGCGCCAGCAGCGGCAGCGGCAGCGGCGTCACCAGCAACACGCAGCAATAGCCCCCCCACAGCCGCAGCAGCCAACAATGGACCCATGGACTTTAATACGGAGCTCACCAAGCATTTAACATTGAAGCGTCAAAAGCAACAACAACAGCAACAACCACAGTCGAGCAACAGCAACAGCAACAACAGCACACATATCAATGCAACCGAAGCAAATCTGAGAACAAATCGCGGACCACCACCGCAGCCGCCAAAGGTGAGTGAATCAGGCACAGAGGAAGGGAGTGAGAGACAGAGAGAGAGAGAGAGAGAGAGACCCACACAAAGGCAGAACTATTTTCATTTGTATATATGTATAAATATAAATAGGCAAGCGAGCATTACTAATAGAGCAATTAGCCAAAGTAGAGCTCTTAGAGTGAATTAAAGAATTAGTAAAGTAAGAAAAGGCAGAGAATTGGAGATTAGAGATGTTAGATGTAGAGCAATTAGAATTGCTGATGGAAGAGTATAGAGTATAAGAGTATAAAAAGATTTTATTTAATGTGTATATGTATATAGCTGTAAGCGTATAGAGAAGTGTATGTAACTTAGTTGAAACTAGAAGTGTATTCATATCAATGAATGTATTCATATCTTTGTAGTTTAGATTAGGAAACACCTCATTTGCAGAGTATTTAATAAGGAATCATTGCTGATTCAAGAAACCTATTAAATGACTACATATTGAGTCAAGTCTAGTTGTTTAGTTTAGTATATAGTTAAGAGCATTAGTAAAGCACAGACCCATCTAATTTCGAATTTAATTTGTAACTGGAATATACGATATTGTGATCTAATTCGAAATCGAGCTAAAGCCAGCTTGTAATTTTCGAATTATCTAATTACACTAGAATCCGATTATAGCAACTTCCCGACCATAGCGTCCGTACAGTTATTGCGATAAAAATTCTGGTCACCAGAGAAACTTATATGAGCAAACCTATACGGTTATAGCGTTATATAGGTATAACTACGGTCCCTTGAGCGTCGTTAGAACTGGATTCTACAATATTTATATAAATTATCATAGAACAGAAAAACAAATATGGAATTGATATAATGCTAAGACCTAAGAATTAAGTAAAATGAAGTATATATACAATACATTTCTAGAATTAATAATAGTTGCTTAAGCAAAGTTCTGAAAGACTTGTAAGAGATTCACTTACATCATCATCATCATCATCATCATTATCATAATTTACAGAAGCTAAACTATTAGCCAGATATTAATGCAGTCTAATGTTAAAATTCCAAGTTGAGCATAGCCTTGATCAATAAATTGAAAGATTTAGCTGGCTATAGATTGCTGCCTCTATTAGTTGTATAACCCGTTCGCTATTCCTGTTCTTCCGACATTAAACAAATGTTGCTTTGATCTGTTCCATTAGAACTCCAGCGAATCCATATTGGAACGCATGAACATACCTCGCACAGCAGCTGCAACGCCCACAGCGACATCATCATCGACGTCGGCGTCGCCGTCGTCGTCAGCGAGTGCCAATGGCAAGGTAAAAGCCGCATCGCCCACGCTCTCGGAGAGCGGCAGCAACAGCAGCGGCAGCGTGAAGAGCAAAGCGGCTAATCTTAGGTGAGTCCCATCTCAATCTGGCCAACTGGCGGAATGCCTGCTTGGGTGCGGGCTGAAACGGAATGTTTGTAATTATGTTTGATATATTTCAATTTTTGAATTTTGCATTTTTTGTATTTCTCTAATTTTATTCCTTTTTTATGAATTTTTTTGAAAATTTAAAATTTTTTGTTTTTTGGTTTCTTTGCCGGGACTTTAATTGGTTAACAACTCCTGGTCCAAATACACCACACACACACACACACACACACACGCATACACACCTGTACACAGTATCTCGTTAGGCAATAGTTTTGTAAATAGTTCAATTACAAAAACAACAACAACAAGCGCAACAACAACCGCCGCAACAGCAACAAACTCAAATCGAACAACGTCGTCAACAACAACGGGATCGGGAACGGGAACGGGAACGGGAGCGGGAGCAGGAGGCGGTCTGCGCAATTTGGCGCCAAATAAGTCAACGCTGTTCGGTGGTGCTTGTGGCACTGGTAGTTTTGTTAGCAGTGGTAGTGGTGGTGGTGGTGTTAGTAATAATTCGCCAGCGTCCACGCGCACACCACCCATAGCGCAACAGCAACAGAAGCCAGCAATTGGCTTTGGCAAGCCAAATTTTGCGCCAAAGCCGCCGGGGCTGCAGCAGCTGGCGTTAGCCAATGGGCATCAGCGTCCAGCGGTGGCACGACATCACAGCATGAAGTCACCCAGGTATAGCATTCATCCACTCTCTCTCACTGTCTATATAAACATCATATTGGCCTCTGGGCCACGCACCATGCTTAGTGCTGCGCGCTCATCTTTGCCTTTGGTTTGGAGTTTGGCTACTGCTTGAATCCTGCACAGCTTGTATACCGCAATACTTGCATAATTTCTCACACACCATATTCTCTCTTATTTATCTCTCTACTATCGCTCAGATCCCCACCGGCTGCTGGAGGCATTAATGGACCCGTTTTCTCAACGCAACAGCATTTTGGCACAATGCGCGCTCCGCTTCAGCAGACGCTGCTGCTGCAGTCCAGCGAAGGCATCAGTGGCAGCACCAATAGTATCACGGGCAGCATTCGCACTGCGCCCAATCCGCCAAAGAGTAAGTGCTCCGTCTTTTTGCACCAATATATATGCTTGGAATACATTATCTGTGGATAATTTCTGATAAAATGGAAATAATACAGTCAGTGTATTATGAGTATATCTCTGTTTTATACGGAATACTTTATCTCTAATCTCTAATCGGCTCTCCATTCGCAGCACGTCCCTCGGTGAAGCCACCGCCGCCGCCGACTCCATCGCGCAGCATTTCGAACAGCAACCTGAGCAGCATTGCGGCGCCGTTCAGTGCTGTGAATACGGCGCTGGTGCAGAGTGCGACTATTACGACGCCGGCGCCATCACCGCCACCGTTGCAGCAGCCGCCCTCCAGTTCGAGCAGCTGCAGCAGCGTAGCCGCTCTGCGCGACCAATTTCGCATCAATGGCAGCGGAACGCCGCCAACTCCGCCCAGCGGCATCACAGCCAGTCCAAAGTCGTCGACAATGCGTGAGAAGGTCAATCCCATTATACTCAATGGTGGCCCCATCAATCCGCCAGCACTGCCACCCCATCGCAGCTGCCCGCCGCCCCCGCCACCGATGCGACAGTCGAGCAACGTAAGTAGAGTAGAGTTGAGTCAACAACAAGTTGGCGCATATGCCAAAGGTAACAGCAGCATTCAGCTGAGAGCAAATGTTGTACTAGGTTAAGCTAATATACACTGTAAAAACAATTATTAGAGTTTGTGGCATAGCAAACAACTGAAGCGGAAAATCTAGTCAGTGCAATTTATATCGATATTTTTATTCAGTACATGAACCATAAAATTTATTAAAAATTCTTATTGGTCAGTTATTCGCTCACGAGTGCCAGATGAATAGGTTATCGAACAATTGAGCAAATCGATTGGTTCTTGACTAATTCCATAACTGAACAAAGAACAAAGTTCACATGCAACTGAACTGCATCGTTTACTGATCACTAATCAAGTTCAGCAATGCAACTTAATGAACCGTTCAATTGAACTTAATGTAAACAAAAAATGTAGTCTGCTCAAAAGTAAAATTGCTTTGGACCTTTTAGACAAATTAAAAAAACAAAGTTGTTATCATTGACTAAAGTTAATTCAAGTATAAGTTTCGCCATTCATTAATAATTTCTTACAGTGCACAAAAGTAACATTAGGGCTTTCTCTCTCTCTCACTATCTCTGTCCGACTCTCGCCCACTGTAATATTTTTCTCTCATATTGCGTTCCTTGCGTTGCGCTCTGCGCGTTCGCTCTTTGCTCTCCGCTGCGCACAAACCGTTAGCTTTTTACAACCTTTATGGATTTTCCAACAATACGTGACCCAAACAGCTTCGATACGGATTGTCGCTCATCGCACGCTTGTTTTGTTTTGCTGTTTGTGTGGGCTTAAAGTGCAATTTAGTTTCTTGGTCCTTCACGCAACTCAGTGGTGACTTCACGTATTATGTGAAGCTGTGCAGGATTAGGCAACTGTCCGAACTCAAAGCAAAAGTATAGCAAAAGAATCTCAAGGCTATTCACAACAATGCTGATGCTCAATCAAAAGCGCAGTGTAACGGAATTTCAGCTTATCTAATAGGAATTTGGCAGGCAATTTAATGCAGCTCGTTTTCGATTGCAGGGTGGAGCACAGCAACAGCAACAGCAGCAGGCACCAGTGCCGCCCCAACGCCATTCATCTATACGGGCCAATGCCCCGCTAACGCCGCCCACGCACATGGCCAATGCGACGCACAATTTTGGCAGCAACGGTGGTCTGGCAACCGGAGCAGCAGCTGGAGCTGGAGCTGGAACTGGAACTGGAGCTGGAGTGGGAGGGAGTGCATCAGTTGGTCGACTTGTCATCGATTTGGAGGCAAAGTTTGGCAAGAGATTTCATAATGTTACCGAGTTCCCGAAACCGCCTCCGTTTCTAAATATACAAAAAGTCTATCCTAGTCGCTCGCTTAAGGCAACCAATGGTATGTAAAGGATATATATATATATATGTATATGTGTACATGAGTGTATGTATGTGTGTGTGTGTGCTTCGGTGTATGCGTGTTTATTTTTGGGTGTGTGGGTCGGTTCTACTGTCAAAGCAAACTCACTCCACGCGCCGTGTTAATAATTATGTTTCTGATTATTATTATTATTATTATTATTATTATAATTATTGTTATATGCACACATGAAACGCTGTTACATAATGAATACATATATGTATATATATACATTATTATATTGCAAAAGTTGCATAATATTATTATTTTTATTATTTATAAGTGAAAAACACATATTAATGTAGCATTTTAGTTCGATGTGAAATATTGAAACGAAATACAACGATGCAATTTTAAATTGTCTTTTATACACACTCACACACACACACACCACATACACATGCAAACACACATCAAGAGATGAAACATATGCTATCAAATGTAACGTTACAATTTATGATTGTTTAAAAATGTTAAAATATATATTTATAATTATGAAAAGTTGATAGCTTTATTCCACATAATTTTGTTAATATGCATATAAATATTATTATATATACTATCTATATATACTTTTAACTATATATTTTTATGCATACAAATATCTATTTTATTTAACAAAGAAAACAGCGATATTATTACTAAGCACACGGATATTATGTATTATTTTTAGTAAAGCATATTTAAATATTAAAACGCCTCTTATCTATGTTCATGCCTCGATTCGCATTATGTTCAAGTCCTACAGCATTATTTCTATACACTTTTGTAGCGCATGGTTTTACTTTTATGTATTTGTCTAAGATCGGCTTTGCATATATATTAAAACTTATATATACACAGATATTTTTTGTACTTGTACTTTTATATCTTATCTACAACGCAAAATGTATGGTTTTTTATATATTGATGAATATTTAATTTTAGCACATTATTGTTTTATTTGAAGTTATGAACAATAAACAAAGCAAAGATGAAATTGAAATTTTGATATGCATTAAACATTTGTACATTTTTTTACATTTTTACACGCGTCGTATTTGTCCTCCATATTCTGCTGTTACTCTATTCTCCTTCCTGATCCTTAAACATTTGTGTTTGTTGCTTGCTTGTAAAAATTTCCATTGCCTAAGTGACGGGCGCAGCTTTAAATACAAAAACAAAACACAACAACAAACTGTCTTTGTATGTATATATAAATATATCATTCCCTCTCTCTCTCTCTCTTTCTCTCTCTCTCCCTACGTAAATGCATTCTCTGTCACGCTTGAAATGCAGAAGCCGCTTTGGCGCCCAACAGCAATAACAACAATAATAATAACAACAACAACAACAGTACCGCTGCATGCAACAACAATGCAAAACCCACAACGGGACTGAAGCCCGCCTATGCGCCTCTCAAAAAACATCGCGCTCCCGCACCACCTCCACAGGCAGGCGTGGCCGCCGCTACAGTGTCTGTGATAAGACAATCCAGTTTTCTATATGGCGGCAATGGCGCAGCAGGCGGCGGCGTCGGCGTCAGCAGCGCTACAAGTACTGTCAATGTGCGGCCAAAATCACAGCCGGCGTCCAGTGTGCCGCGCAATTCAACGGTTTATTAATTGTAAACATAACTGTAAATTTCTATCCCTGTTTAAGCTTTGTATATATGTATACGTATTTATGTGCGTGTGTAAGTGTAAGCGTGCAAGTCCTTACTGTTGTTATTGTATCGAGATTGTATATGCGTGAGTGCGATTCGGTGTGCGTGTGTGTGTATGTGTGCAAATGCAAATGTGACAAGTGTCCCTGTAAAGTGTATAAAATAGAAACAGAACAATAATGACATAAAACAAATGCAGATGCACAAATTTGGTTTTTGTATGTATGTAATAGACACCTGCATGTGTATGTACACATTGTAAAAGTGGTGGAAAGAGTAGATATGCAATGAATTCGTTTTAGATGGCAATGGCTGATTTAAGAAATGTACTAAAAAATGTCATACGTGAAAATGTTCAATTGAATCATTTAGCAGCCAACTTATTGAGCTTAATGGCTGGCTTAAAAATGTACTAAAAAAAGTAAGGATTGAAAATGTTCAATTGAATCGCGCTTCAAATTGTAACGGCCTCACTCAGCTGTCTTGCTGTTTAAGTTTAGTGTCTTCCCAGGCTTAACACACAAATATACTTACGTACATGCATACATTTATATACATATATACACATATTAACTATATTTAATCTGTATATAAAACTTAGTGGCATTTGAATCTAGACCAAAGATAGTCAAATTATTCAAAAGGCAACACCAGCAGAGAAAACCCTTTAATATATATATATATAAATCTATATGTAAGTACTATTCGCATATTTACGAGCGTTTTTGTCGCTCTCCCTATCTAAACTAGACTGAACAAATTGTTGAACCGAAATTAAAATTTTATTATTAAATCACAAAGAAAACACACAAATGTTAATGCAAATGAAAACTGTAGCACAAACCAAAGGTTTTTCCAACGAAAAATAAAAGGAAAATTAAAATGAAAAAAAAAGCAACATTTACATGTAGTTGGAATACATCATATTACATCAATACCCCGATCAGTTAATTAAATATATTATTTTCCATTTGTGATACAATTCGAACAACTTCTGTATCCATTCTTCAATAACTATTCTAAATTAATATATAAATTTGTTAAATCCCCTAGGGCAATATTATTCACTTACATCAAATTAATTACTTATGATTATTATTATGAAATTCATTGTTGTTGGACCCTTGCCGTCATTAGAAATAATTCAAAACATTCAATATTATATTTCAATATCATTCCATTCGAAGTTCTCATATAAATAAACTGAAAAAAGCATTGGAAATACCGAATTCAAATGACTTTTTAATGGTGGGTTGGACTGATATTTAAAAAAAATATATGATTTATTGGGGCAGTTTTTCTATATGAAAATCTCTCATAAAAGACTCGTTACCATAAGCAATATTTTTATTCAATTATCATAGCATATATATAACGTATATATTCTTAGCACAGATCCATTTCACTAAAATTATCCAAAGATGAACTTTGTATATGTTAATTTCAACATGAATTTCATTTTTAAATGCAGTTTGTTTTCTGGAGTATATATTAGCTGCAAGCGGTTATTTACAAAATAGTGAGAATAACATGAATTGGCTAAAAGCATCTGCTGATTAGCCAACCGAACTATAACAAGCTTAGACATAGTGTAAATACAAAATAGAATTAAATTCCGTAGACAATAAACAATCGCACTTTGTTGGCTATAAACTAAATGACAATCTAAGCTGCGCCTGAGCTATGCTTGAGCTTTAGCCTCCTGCAGCGGCTGATCCTCGCGTAGACGTCGACGTTCGCATTTGGGGCACGGCTGATGCTCGTTCAGGCATTCGGCATGGAATACAGCACCACATGTGACGCACTGTAAATGGAAATACAGATTACAATTACAATCGAAATGAGGATCAATAGACTTACCCGAAATGTGGTGGCAATGTGAAAGGGATAGAGAACACGCGGGCTCTGGCAGATTTCGCAGATGAAGCCCTTCAGCTGGCAGAGCCGGCATTTGAGGACGTGCGCCTCGCCCATCTTAAAGGCCTTCTGCAGCTGCTGGCAAAGCGCGCCACGCTGTATCAATGCCAGATCTGCTATGGAGTACTGATGTATGTGCTCGTAGAGATACTCCCGGCCAGCAAAATGGTTTTGCAGCAGCTTCAGGCTGTTCGGCGCACAGGTATAGAGATAGGCACGTATAAAGTTCAAGCGAATGCGCAGAGACTGCAGCTCGGCCATGGCATCGGAGGCATAGTAAATGCTCGGATTGAGTAGCTGCATGTCGAGGAAGGGCTGTGCCCGAAACTCGGCCAGAAAGAGTGCTGCCCGCTTGCTGACGGCATACTTGCGAAAGTCCCAGTTGTAGACGATGCGTGCCGGAATGAGTTGAGGCTCCGGCTCCATGCAAATGTTGCAATAGTAATTGCCACTAAAGGCACACACTCTACAGGAATATAAAGAAGGGATTGTGTGAAAGGTAAAACCTTAATTTATAGTTTGCTTCTACGTACTGGAAATTGTTGTCGCCAATGCCCAGCGGGTGCTGGCAGCCCTTGCACAGAAAGCCCTGTGCATTCAGTCCGGGCTCGCGTGGCAGTTGACAGAGCTGAGCAACCATTTGCTGCAGCTCGCCCATTTCGAAATTCGAGCTCAGCAGCTCAAATTCCGAGTTGGTCTTTGAGTAGAGAATATTAATATTAAGCACTCCAATAAATGGCAATAACTTACATCGATTGATTGCAGTTCACTCATATCATCTGTTGCATTCGAATCAAGCTCTCGTTGCGACGTCTGCTGCTGCGCCAAGTTCAGGGTGGAGGGATTAGCGCGAAACTTCTCCCAGATCTGCGACCAGCCGGAGCCATCCTCACGATTGCTCTCGTGCTTGCGTAGCAGCGCATTGTAGCTGCAGCGATCTGCTGTGGGTGTGCGCAGACTGGTCGTGCTGGTCATGCTAACCGAGCGCTGAAAGAAGCGCGCTCCGGTCTCTTCTGTGGGCGAATGGGCATCCAGATCGGCGGACCACGAGGTTTGCATGAGATTTGTCAGCGAATTGCTGCCCTGCGGCAGCTCAGAGAAGGGTTCTTCAATGAGACGCATGGAACGCTTTCGAATCCGCGGAACACTTCCACCACTTGACTCGGCTTGCTCGGCCTCAGTGGACTCTTCATGATCTTTCTTTGTCTCTCCAGAACTGTTTGTCTGCTCTTCGTTTATAATATCCAGTTCGTCAACCTTTTGCATAAATAGATCCAGCATCTCGTGTTGGTTGAGATCCGCATTCCCAAACTGACCTCCGCGACTGAATGGACTGTTCGAAATGGACTCCGAGAAGAGCTCGTTTGTGTGCAGCGGCTGTGGCGTGGGAATGGCCACGATTTCAGTAGCCAAGGAGCTGGCCACATCAACGCCGCTGCTTATCTGAAAAAGAAAAATCCGTTAAATATGAACTTTCATTAAATACTTTTCCCTGTTCTACTTACTGGACAGGATTTGAGTGCCGGTGTCCATAGATCGGATAGCTGTAGCGCATAGTCGGGCCATTGATTGAGCAGGCTGGAGTTCACAGGCAAATCGAACGTCACATATGCCTCCAGACTCTCCATAATCTTGGCTGCCGTCTCCAGGCCCTCGCTGTCCTTGAGCAGCGCATCTTTCTTGTAGTACGGACGCAGGGCTGAGCCATTCTTTCGCATGTTATTTAAATACGACGAGAATACGGAATCGTTGAGAGACTGTCGCACCCACGCCCGACACTGGCCCGTCTCGGAGGTTATTTGGCTCAGCCGCTGGATTTGTTCGATCACCTGCTTGTGCATGAACACCATGGCCGGTGACCAGAAGCTTGGCTCCGGTCGTCGCTCCACATCTCCAGCTATCACATTGATGGTGGCCCACAGGAACGAGTCTTTCAAGCCGTGCAGGAACAAAGCCTCTAAAGTGGTGCACAAAGCACTTGTCTGTTCGCACAGTCCAATGACTTCTGTGGGAATTTTATTGGATGAGTCATGGCAATTGGGTTAATTAAATTTGAATTGAGGCGAATTACCAAGTCCTTTTTGCTTAACTTCAAACTCAATTTCTCTCGCATTCTCGTTCAGTGTATTTATCAGCGCCTCCTTAATGACATTTTCACGTTTTGTGGAAAAATGGTTGAGGCTGCGAAAGAGGGAGCTCATTTGTTTGTCTTTAAGCTTTTTATTTATATTCCTATTTCGACTTATTTATTGTTATCTCTTGCCTAGACACCATCAGCTGTTTGCCAGGGCTGCAAGAAATAACTTTTTTTCTTAGATTTACTATGCCAAGAATATTCAAATCAGATTTTTTGGCTTATTTAAAGATTTTAATAACATTTGAAAAATAACAATAATAATGACCATTAAACTTAACTTAAATCCTCAACATTCAATGGGCTACTGAATATATTTAATTTATATTGAAACACTTGTTTGGTCAGTGATTGAAATCAACTGGAGCTCGCGGAACTTATGAACCAGCTAATGCAATCGATGTAAGAGTGAACCGATAGTAAACGATATTGAATTTCATCGACTGCTTGTCTTCAATGACGTCACAAGAGCTCTCCTCTTTTTAACGGCTTTTTATATATTTTTTTTCAGCTTTCATAAGCTGATGAATCTTAAAGTCGACAATTTATATATGTCCGCGAAATGAGTAAAGTAAGCAGTATTGAATTTCCGTTTAGAATTCTGAGCTTTAAGACCAGTTCATATTATTGCTTACTTGCTTTCTTTCTATGTGGGAACGCTCGATTATAAGAATGAAAAAAAAAAAAAAACCCACGCAAATAAATAACACCAAATTCAGCGTATTCGTTAACAAGACAAAGCTTTAATGACTTCTGATGCCTTGGGGTTTTATTTCAACGAACCAAACAACATTTATGACTCAACTCGACAAGGAATAGAAATTAAGTACTGATAATAAATATTGTTAACCAAACAGTTCCCATTTCTGCAGTTAATGGAAAATTATGCATACATATATATACATATATATTTATTTATTTTTGTTTATTTACATATGAATGAAGTTGACTTGAGTGTCAGCCTCAATCCCGGCTTGTCCATAGGCTGTGCACGTATCCATTCAGTAAGTCGCCACTTGATATTAAGACGAAATTTGTGTTAAGGTCAGGGTGACCAACAAAGTTTATGCTGTCATTGTTCAACTTGTTGTTGCTGTTAATTTGGTTGTTGTTGTTGTTGTCTTAACGCATTTTTCAATATTTTTGCAATAAAATTGTATAGCCTCTGATATATCGTACAGAAGATGCGCTCCAACTGGTTCAAAAACTGGTCGAGAGAAAAAAAACAAATTTAAGATGTTTTTTTCTTTTCAGATTTGTTGTTGATTTTTTACGAAACAATTTTGGTGTGGGCTGACAACACTTGCATTCAACAACTGCACTGAAATTGGTCGCTAATTTATTATATATATTTTTGTTTATATTTATATACAAGCATTTATAAATTTTTTTTTTTTTTATCATTTTGCAAACATCATGTAGTCATGTTTTTTTTAACGGAAATGTTAAAGCTTGATGAAGCTGCGAATTTAATTAATGAATTTTACTTTTTTTTATGAAGATGAGTTCAAAAGGTAAGACAAATGTTTATGGAATTAAAAAAAATAAAATTCAATAAAATGATAACAATTAATAACAGAAAAAAACGTAAATATTAAGCTGAAGGTGAAGGGTCACTCAAAAATTTTTACGCATGCGCAGCGCCGCGTCATTTTCATTTTCAATTCCATTTCCATTATCATTTCCCAACTGCAAGAGACTTTGACTAAGCGGCATAGACTCTATTAAAGTAAATAATATACAGCGTGAATGCTGTCACTGCATGCCTACCGCTGCTGCTGTTGTTATTGTTGTTGTTGCTGCTGCTGCTGCTGCTGTGATGCTGACTTGACTTTTTTCTTAGCTCCACTCAAAAAGTTTGACTTGAACGTCGACTTTACGCTGCTAGCGGCAACTGTTTGGGCCATTGTTATAAGTAGCAGAAGAAGAAGAAGAAGAAGAAGTAGAGGCAAAGCAACAGCATTTTTATAAAAACGTTTGTTTTCGTAATACAATTTTGATTACTTCTTCGACGTCGACTGAGCCACAGCGTCGCGACGTCCCATTGAAGGCTTTGTCTGTTGTTTGCCTTATGCAGCGACGCGACGCGTCGGCCGAGGCTTAGCTTTGATTTATTAACACTGGGCGCCCTACAGCTGCAACAACAACAATAACAACAAAAGCAGCAACACGGGCCAAATGCGCGCCTTTTTAGAGTTAAGTCCATTTGGTAATATCTGCGCTGTTAATTGTAACAATAATTTTAACGCCCAAAGATTTCATTGGCAGCGTTTGCTTCAATCGTTACGCTGCGCATAGGAAGCGCAGGCAAAGGTGAATACAAAGCCAAAGATTCGAAGTCGAATTCGAGCTCGAAGACGAGGCACACATACCAAAATACCAAAAAGTAAAAAAGTCCCAATGCGGAACAAACGCGCAAATGGCTGACATAATTAGTAAGATAAAAGCCGCCTGGACCTTGCCTGACAGTTATGAACTGAACTAAAAGATGATATACTCGTATATACATATATGTACCTAAATAAAGCGCAATCGCAAAGCCTTCAAATTTAAGCATATTCACAAACAAAATTGTGCAATCAAATTGCGAAAGGGATCAATGTACGCAAATGTTAATATAACATCAAAGAAGGCTTTGCACAATGCTCCCCCACAATGTGATCTAATATGAGCTGACTAAGCATCGTAAATCTCGAATTAATTCACTTTGATGAGTACAAAATTTAATTTGCTTCACAAAAGAATTTGCCGCTCAATTTAATGAATTCAAGTATCGAAAGCCAGTCAGAAATCAGTGTTCTGTCAGAGAACAGGATTTTGTTCTGTGAACAAATTCCCCATGCATGAATTTGTTTGAAATATATATATATATGTGTGTGTATGTATGTATTTTATTGACATATTTGCATTATGCATTGTTAGCAACTAGACTGATGACTATGACGTTCCCTGATAGATCGACAAACAATCTATTAAGTTTAGTCTCCAAAATCCAAACCTGTCTGTCTAAATTTACAAATAATATAGTAGAAACAAATGCTGCTCACACTTTAACACATTCATTTTCATTATGAATTTGCATACCATTTATAAATACATGCATTTATAAAAGCATATGCAAAACCGTTGAAACGTGTGGGTAATAACAGAATGTTAAGCATATGTTAGACGAATGTTAAGCCTGACCTTGAGCGACATTGGCAATGCAACGCCTGCACCAAGTATGGGAAAATACACGATATTCATATATTCATATGCGGATATACATATATACGATATATGTAAGGTCATTAAATGTACAGTTTCTCGGTTTCAAAAGCAATACACTATAAGTTAACAATCAAATCGGGCTTTGGCTTATATACATATGCATTTACACCCACACATACGTGTATATGCAAATACATATGAACTGTGCTGAGAGGCTTAGAGTTGAAAATGTCCTAAATAAGAACGAAAGCGATAGTTGCAGCACTGTAAATACTTTTTTTTTTTTTGCTGAATAATTTCCTTTACTTAGGGAAATTTGTACAATATGTAAATAAATGCAGTGACGCCGCTGCAGCTGGGAATTAGATGTACATTGGCTCAAAAACTAATTGTATCAGTCAAAATAATACACTTATGAAATTGTTATCTAGCCAACATTATATTTAAAACAGTCATTTTTATATACATACATGCATGTAGATTATGTAATGCCCAAATTGTAAATTGCTATTAATATTAATGCTACCGTAACATGTGGACATACCCAAACAACATATGGACCACTGTGCGCCGTCAGCGTCAACTTGATGCCAATGCGAAAGCCAAGCTTCATTCGTTGTCGCTGATGGCAGCGTTGTTTATTAAAAGCGCAGAACTCGTGAGCTACGGACGTGTCTCTGCTACGCTCGAGCGCCTCGCTCATCTAATCTTCAGTTAACTTCGTTTACATCTCCGTCACCGTCTCCGGTACTGTCTCCGATACGGCGCATCTCTCTCCCACAGTGACTGCGAGTCGTGAAATCGTGTCACAATTGATTGAATATTGTGTGCAAGCGCTACAAGCTAAAATAAATACGAGAAAAAATTAATATTACATATTATTTGTATTTGGCAATAAGGTTTTTTTCTGTGTGCACGCCGGTGCAGATTTCGTCGCTCGCGTCGTCGTCGTCGTTGTCGTCGCCGTTGCGGATTTTGTCATCCCTGACAGCATCAATTCGACCTGGTGGCTGTAATTGTTGTTGTTGTCAGCATTGTTATTCTGCCTACGCGCTAATTATTCCTCGCGGTTTTCAACTCGAATGCGGATTTTGGGCAATGCCCAATTCTAAATCGACGGTTGCGTGACAAATTCGAAAAAAGAAACACAAGTCACACAAGGCAAGAACAACAACAACCACGAGAAATATAACGTTATTCCGAATTGCCAAAATCGAAATGCAAACGCGCAGTTTGAAATACGGGCTACGCAGTCGCCGAGCTGCCGGCGTTACCGTTACGCTGCTGCTAGCTCTGGCGCTACTGAGGATCGACGCAGCTACTGGAAGGCCTGGTATACATGCACCACATACATACGCACACACATATAATTCATTTCGGATTCCAATTGGAAGCCGATTGGATTTACGATTTTGATACCATTTCGAATTCGTAACCAATTCGCATAGACATACGATATTTAATTAGTGTTTGCTTTTTAATTTCCTTTTCGCCTTTCGTCTATTTGCGTTTCTGTGTTTCGTGTTGCTTACTTCAATTACGTCTTTATACGCATGTTATTTCAAACTAAAGATTTATTTATCTAGCTCAGTTTGAAATCTATGCTAATTCGTGTTTAATCAAATATGTGCAACCAAAATTGATTGAGTTTACATCATTAAACAAACAAGTTAATCAATCAATATTTGTGTATATCAATTTGGGCTAAAAAAAAAAAAAACAATTAAGTTGATAATCAAACAAATTAATTCATTATGAAAATTAATTACAAAATTTACAATGTTTGTATTATTAAACTATTAAATTTTTGAAAGAAAAAGATATTACATACGCATATATACAAATTTGTAAAATAATTTATTTAACCAAAGTTAAATACGAAAATTGTAAATTTAGTAATTTGTTGCTTTAATTTAGTATTAAACTAATATTTTCTTATATACATTTAAAATTTGACCAATAATTTGTTTAATGATGAAAATTCAATAAATTATTTTTTTATAATTAATTTTTTTTTTTATTTATTTATAAAATATAATAAAAAATCTTTTAATAATAAAAATCCTTTTTAATGCACATATTTCATAAAAGTTTATAGTTTTGAATACTTTTAATGTGATAACCAAGTGTCTGTGTTTTTTTCTTCATCCGTAACTAAGTTTATTTCTTAAGCCTTAACAAACTTTTATTTTATTTGATCTATTAAGTCTACAAATCTGTTTATCTTTGTCCTTTGAGCCTCTGTTTGAACTGTCCCTTAACTTATCAACCAATTGTTACTAATTCCCAGCACATGCACCAACTCATCTAACTGAATGAAATCATTCGATCGTCATCTGTTCTTTAATCAGCCTAAATACTTTGGGTATTAGTCATTTCGACATTGAATAGGAGCTTCAGTGATGATTCAAGATAAAGTAAACAAGTATAAGACTATTTTTTTATTTATTTATTTTTTATTTTTTGAAAGAAAGTAAATCTTTTTCACAAAGATATTCCTTACTCTTTTTCCTTGCCTCCACTGTTACTTTTTTTGTATTTTACTACTTTTATATCTACTTCCGCTTTTCTCTTCTATTTTCCCGATATTACTTTCTTCCCAGATTTTATACATTTCTATCTCTGCATATCTTCTGTATATTTGCCCTGGCTCTATTCCTGTCTCTCTCTATTTCTATAACACTCCAACATTTTCTTTCTTTTTCTTTTTTCGATATCTCGATTTTTCTCTGTGTCTTTCTATCTCCGTCTCTCTCTCTCTCTCCCTTTCTTAACACCTTAAGATCTGATTCAGTTCTCCGACTCACATACAGGAAGTCTCAAATACCTTTCGACTATAGTCCAATACTTGATTACTAAATTTCCTCAAAATGCTGTCCGCCATGGGTTTCCATGCATCATGCAGTGAATCGGGGGAACTTGCCAGACACTCATCTACGCCGATCATCAAATTAGAGTTAATAAATAACAGCGATTCATGACATTTAAGATGTTTTTGGTCTTTCGATATATCAAATGAGTAAATGTGTTAGTCACAAACTGGACAAATCTCATCGAACTGGGCAAAATAAGGCGTCAGCTTTATACAGCAAAAACAAAAAATATATAAAATAAACAGATTTGGCCGATGGCGACAAAAACGTCCAATTCCCAAAGGCAACAAAGGGTAAATGAAACTCGAGAAGCCGCCGGCTCAAAGCAAACAACAACAATAACAAAAGTTATGTAAGAGCCAGATGACATGACTGGCAAGGCTTCATCAGCCTCAGCTTCAGCTTCAGTTGCAGTTTCATCTTGGGGGTTTTTGATTTCCACTTTTTCTTCATCTTCTTCTTCTTCTTATTTTTCGGCTTCACTTTGAGCTGCTGCTGCTGTTGCTGCTGGAAGGGACGACCTCTGGGATGCGTCTATCATTATCTCAGCTGCTACTTTAAAAGGCTGTTCATCTTCAGCCTCTGGCCTCTGGGAGGGGGCAGCTCGACAAGTTCATAAATTGTTATGACAATTTGTTAAGCTTGTTTGCAACTGTTCAAACGTTTTTTCTTCAATTCTTCTTCTTTTTTTTTCCTTTTTCCTGTTTTGTGGGTCATGGAGCGCCCCCAAAAAAGAGGTTAATTGCATTTAAGACACGCCGCACGTTATGGGACTTATAGATAAATAAGTTTAAGCTGATTATTTAAAAGCTGCACCATGTTGAGTCAATAAAAAATAACATATTTATATATTCTATGGCTCAAGTGTCTGGTTTAGCTATACTGACAAGTATTTGAAACCCGCTTTGAGCCAAGATTTATGTAGATTTTCTGAGGTGTTTATAAGCTGGGCTGTATTATAGATCATAGTTAGATAAGACTAGATTAGACTAAATTATAGATATAGCGAAGCTATTGAAAATGAGTATTTACTTTGCTTTTGCTGGAAAGATATGTAGTAGGTAAATAGAAGAAGGCATATTAGTTCAATATCTAAATACTCAATCTGTTTCTACTTTTATTCCAATGTAATATCGTTAGTTATTTGAGCATATCTCGTATGCTTTAAGCGCAAAAGTTACCACATTTCTTATATAGACTCTACCAATGTAAACTCATATAATGGACATTTCCTTTTTTTGAATTGCCAAAATAATTCTTTTTAAATAGCTCATAACAAGGTGTACTAAGTTCTATTACTCTATTACTCGAGATATCAACTCGAATATTTGCCAGATTTGTTGAGCCCTGGTTACCATCCAGCTCAAATAGCCTTATAAACTCTATAGGAAACGCAGAGATTCGTCCATTGTCTAACAATATCTCAAAGACAATACATCAGTGTCCAATTGTGTTGCCGTCTTTTCTTCTGGTTTTATGGCCATAATCAATTAATGTTTAACGATTTTCTTTAGCCGCTATTCACACGATCTGCTCGAATGAATATATATCGTTAAAGTCTCTTGACTGTACGTGATAATTAACAAATTCGCACAGATTTTATAGGCAGCTGTTGTTGTTGTTGTTGTGCACAATTAGTTAGCCTCATAATGAAAACTTTGCCTTAGCTGTTTTGTTTTTTCCATAAGTTTTCGTGATTTATGTTGGCTATTGTATTTTTGTATTTTTTTTTATTTTTTACTACAATTTTTTCTATGTATATACCCAAAGTGTAGCCTGAAATGTTTCATAATGTCTTAATAGACCAGCACAATAAGCCCTGATATAGATTTTAACCGTTTATTATAATTGATAATCTGCGACGTATTTCATGAGACGTTTCTTACGTCACTAATGGGTTTTTCGATATCATGGGATTAATAAGTGCAAATTACCACACATTAATGGGAAAAAAACCGAAATTAAAGGCAAAATCGAAATCACAATGAAATTTTTATTGAAAATCTGTGTGAGTCGTGAAAACAGTTGCCTAAGCATTTGAAATCTAAGTAATTATGATATATTGATCAATTGATTGAAGCTGATGAGAGATTTATGTGAAATGTTTGTTTAATTTGAATATTTCAGTTTGATTTACACAATTTTCATAATCTAATGTGAACTTTGGCATATTCAGAAGTAGGCGTGGCAAGCCTGTAAGGTCCATATATTCTTGAGCAGAATGATTAGCTGAGTTTTAAATGCTTTTTATTATTTTTATCAGTTTAAGAGAAATTGTTTACAAATTTTATATTATATTTTATTTGCTTGACCATAAAACAAAGGAATTTAAAGAAAAAAATTTAAGGGACAAAAAAATTATAGATTCCCTCAAAGTATACGCAGCTGAAAAATAATACATTTTTACTGTCCAAAACAGAAAAATTCTCTTCTAACAATCTATACAAATTTGTTTTAGATATAAACTATAAGAATTCGACCTAATATCTTTAGAAACGACCTACTTTCTATATATCTATAATCATTTATAATAATTCTTATAGAATATGAGCTTGCATATAGAATTATATTATTCTAGATCTTTAGAAAAGACTTCATTCGAGTTCGCTCATTATTTGACTTGGTTCGTCTCGGCTTACTGGGCATCCCCTGGTCAGCCACACCCAACTATGCCGCAGTCTCATTTGGTCATGTTGCCATTTCTTCAATTTCTGCAGCGAGACACCTCGATTAAGGCAATTAATTATTGAATCACATATAGAATCACAGCAACAAATTTCAAAGCTGGCAATAAAATATTATTTACGAGCGCGAATTGTTTAGCTCTTCAGTCTTTGCTCAGCTGGAGCTGTACGTGGGCAGTGTGATTTTTAACAGCTAAATAAGTCGATAATTCAAGGCCCAAGATAATATGATGATCGCGGGATGAGCATAATGAAATTTGATTTTTATCAACCCAAACATGAAGGTTGCAAAAACAAAAAGCTTGTCAAAGCAACTGTAAAACATAAAAGAGCAAAAACAAAAACTAACGAAAAACCGAAATAAAAAACAGTTGGAATTATGACATTGTCTGTGCTTATATAGTGGGTGCAGATGTCGTGAAGTCGCCAATCAATTAAAACTTCAATTCAATATGATGTTCACAATAGACAAAAAAAAAAAAATAAATAAATAAATAAAAAAAATAAAAATAAAAAATAAAAGATCAAAACAAAACAAAAATAAAACAAACAAAAAATAACAATAAAAATTTAATTGGCAGTGAACTTGATGGGCAAAAGCTGAATTTAACTAGTTTTACGAATATTTTGATTGACAATAAAACAAAAGGTTTCGCCCAATACTCGGAACTAGTTAGGATCGCAGTATTGTAAATTTTCTATATCTAGTATTATCTGCACAATTTTTCATTAGAATTTTGTATATGTTTTTTGTTGTTGTTTTCATTGCTAATTACAACAGATGAAATCTGAGAATAAATTAAACAACGCGCTGGCAACACTTTCCCAGCTGCTGCTGTATGTTAGAGGAACAATAAAACTCAAGTCTCTAGATATTGCCAAGATAAATATATATATATATATACATAGCTATATTGTAAATATCCCACATTTGTATATCTTTAGTGAATTCATATTTATGCCTTGCCAAAGTTCAGGGCTTAAGACTTCTGATTAAACTTGGGCAGCATCATTTGTCAGCTGCGATTGATAAGCCTAGCTGGAAGATATGTTAAGTATGCCCCATTGTTTACCTACAAACATGGCGAATATGAATGCAAAATAGACAATACAAATCTACAGCAAATCATTTATACATTATATTTAGTTATATTGATATGCACATATGTTTAGCAGCCGGAACTTGGCTAGAATTCCAGAGAGCGCCTATTAAAATCTATCAGCTTGAGCTCTGTATCTGTTTGTACCCAGGAATTTATTGCTAAAATAGCACAATAACTAATTTATTCGTTTATTATTTGTCTAAGCTCGAATAAAGTTTTTTGTTTAGCATTTCGCCTGGTTCTAATTATATTAAAAATTATTCACAGTTTTATTTGTTTTCATAATCTGCCATCAGAAATGGGTGACCAAAAAGTGGTTGGGTTGGTTCGGGTTTGCTGAAGATATTTAATATAAATAAATAAAACTGAGTGAATAAATAAAAAAAAAAAAAAAAAAAAAAAAAAAAAAATAGATGTAGATTATTATGAGCCCTTCAGAGAGTAAGAACTGTATTTCCATAAATTATAGATGAATTCAAATATATATGATCTCTTTAATATATAACTATAATAATATAACTATTTATCACTTTATAACAAGTTAAAAATATTTAAATAAGAATATAAGGAAAAACTACTTTGTTACCCTCGTGGCATGACGAATGAATAAGCGGACATGCTAGATTGCATCTAGACCTCGTGCTGTTGATTTGAAGATATTTAATAACGTCAGTTAGTTGTCTATGAATCTATTGGAGAATGTTAATAAGTTAGTTAGTTAGTCAGCCAGTCAGCTGAGGCTAGTTCTAGGCGGGCGTGGCTTTTGATGGATAAGGTTAGACTGATCAAGTTTTACTGGTTTACTTCGTGAGTTCAAGCGAGAAAAAACATCCCCAGGTTAAATGAAATGTGAACCAGCTATATGTCAGATGAGCGTTTGCAACAAGTTCTCTATGGAATCTAGTTCTGAAAATGTTTTATCTATTTTAATGAGTACAATTATCTTATATATTATGCTCTAAATGACGGAAATAAAAAAGCTAGTATTTATGGGCTATGGCAGGGATATTATAGGCGAGATTTGAAGATGTGAAAAGATAAAATGGAAAAATTTTATGCAGATGCAATTAGTTGTATATTCATGGTACATAAACTAAACAATAAAAAAATTAAATTGTTTTTCCATTTAAAGCAGCAGCAACTCATTATAGATAGATAGATAGGTACATTAAAATATCTTAACTTATCTCTTTATCTCTGTTTGCTCCACTGTAATGCTCTTACCTCAAATAAATCTATATCAAATGCAAAATCTCCATTTCAACATTTCTTTTGCAAAACTTTTTATCAATTCGCCAAAGCTTGTTAACATTATAATAGCTTAAATCTCTGTTTCAAGCTACAAATTTCTCTAGTTACAATTGAGTAAAGACAGATATCGGAATGAACATGACCCAAGTCGAAAATACTTTCCTTTTTGACTTTGTAAACGCGCTCAAAGCGAATTAATTGATAAAGCAGACAAATTACAAGCACTTTGAGATACATGATTGAGACACATTTGTGTTTGGGGCCAGCGGTGAGCAAACATCGCAGCTCAAACTCAACCAAAACAAAAGACTCAGGCAACAAACTTGATTGACTGCCAATCACACTGGGAGGGGGAGGGAGAGGGAGAGACTGCGAAACGAAATAGTAAAAATCTTAATTTACTTATTGACCTACCTGGCCAAACTAACGCCACAGAGTGAGTGAGTGTGTGTGTGTGTGTTTGTGTGTGTGTGTGTGTAAGTGTGTTATGTGTCAACCAAAAAGCTGCATTGAAATAGCAACAGCAACAGCAGCTGGAAGACACAACAAATAAGAGTACTTTACTTGGAAATACATGACTGATAGATACCCTGCAATAATGTTAAGTTAGGATGACAAATAACACACACACACGCATGCCAAAATATATGCTATTTCAATAGAAATACTTGTTTACTTTTCTATACTTTGAGAGGGAGAGAACTTCAGCTAGAGCTGTGCTATCAGAATACAAATTTCAGAGCATGGACAACCAAAGCTAAAGCAAATATAATTCCATTAAATTTTTGGTGAGGAATACTGTAAAATATTTAAAGACTTCAAAAAAAACTGTGTAATAGTGAGAGAAAATCGCATAGAAATTTTTTGTTATATCCCAGTAGAGATTGTGAGCGATATGATCAATGTGATCAAATTTCTGCTTCACTATGACTTTTTGAGATGTTAAAATATCGAATTGAAAGCTCTCTGAAGCTGACTGAATGAGGGGATTATATTAAAGATATCATATTTCATATGCCTAAGCAAGGCAGGCGCTTGATCCCTCTGGTGTGGACTTCTCATGAATTATTTTCTTTAACTTTATAGATGTATAAACAATTGAAATGTTGCTAACGTAGAGTGATTGGAATAAGAGTGAAGGGTTCAGGGTATTTAATAGTCGGGCAGCTAGAGTAGAGAATATTGTAGTAGTGATAAATTTCCACTCTTTATATCTATATAAATACATATATAAGTGTATACATATATACATCAATAGCTATATATTCTATATCGATATATATTTATTTGCTATTAAATCTATATAAATATACGAAATGAGGGAAACCCTAGAGAGGCATATATACGAACGTAACTGCATAGACTCAACTGCTCAGACTGTTCAAGAATATATGAACTTTATGGTTTGTACAGCCCCATACTCCGCCTGTTGCATTAGCTAGCAAACCAACAATATGCCCTGCCTTTTCACTAAGTCGAGGGTATGCACAAAATGCAACCGCAGCTTCAAAGCAAAGGAGACAAAGACTCAACACACATACACACATACATATATATTTATAGAGCATTTAAGCCAATGTCAATCAATCAGCGACAGCCAGCGATGGCAGCCAAATTGCCACACAGAGCCACCCAAGGGGCTGCCACATCAGTTTCATCTTCGCTTCCACTGTTTCTAACATTCTTTTAGCTTCTTCTTTTTTTGTTTTTTTTGTTTTTGTTTTTGGTGGATTGCCAGCAAATTGCAGCGCTCTTGTAGCATTTGCCACTCACCTAAACCAGCTCATGCACACACCCACACCCACTCACACACACACACACACACACACACTCATCTGTATATACATGCATACATACCTGTGCAACCACAAGAAACAACAACAACAACAACAACCACAACCAAATTTCCCCCCTTCTCTGCAGATGTGCGGCAATCGCCGTTTTCATTAGAATTGCAGCCGCCATTGGCTGAGGCCGCTGCGGGCGATGCCTTCAATGCGGGCAGCGAGCGGGCCACCGATAGCTATGGCAATCCGATCGATGCACTGCGTCCGATCGATACGCCCGATGGGCGCAAGGTGGTCAGCGCGCAGGGCCTGCAATTCGAGATACCCAATTATGCGTCGGGCATCACTGAAATACGAAAGCCGGCCGATGATCTGCTGCCACCGCATATTGGTGAGTTCACAACAACAGCTGGAGCAACCAAAGCGACAACAGCAACAGCAACAACAACAACAACATCAAAAGCAGCAGCTACCACAACAACAACAGCAGCAACCACAATCGCATCCACATTACGCAATAGAATTAATCAAAAGCGAAATACTCAAGCAGCTTTAGTAAATTCCACAAATAGCCTAAGTATCACAGCCACGCCCTCATCCACAACCACAGCCACACTCCCACCCAGTCGCACGCCCACATATGTAGCACCACTAACAAAATCTGAATCCCAATTGGATTCAGCACATGGCAAGCGCGAATCATCTGGTCAGCAATATAAGATTACAGCAGCCAGTGCCCAGCACGCCCCGCCCACATTCACCCTGCTCACCCTCAATCCAGAATTTAGGCCTCTAGAGAGCCCCAGACCCCAACCCCGACCCCAACCCCGACCCCGACCCAGACCCAGACCCAAAGCAAACAATGATAGCCTTGCCTTGATCGCATACTCAACTCCAACTCCGACTCCTTCCCAACTAGATGCCATAGCCGTGGCGGTGCCCAGTACGGACATCGATAGCACCGACAGCACCTCATTCGCACCAGCACCAGATACATCACTAACACCACCCAAGCATGAATCATCAACAACCACCACAACCGCCGAGGATATCGCTGTGGAGGTGGAGCAGGCGCAGCTGGTGCCCTTGAACCAGCAGCAGCCGGAGGAGAGTGCTCAGACGCCACAGCAGACGGACGGCACGCTGCCCGACTATCTGCTGGAGCTGCAGCAGCAGGACAAGGACATCGCTGGACCTGTGCCCTGGACACCGGCACCGAATGCTGCACCACTCAGTGTGATTGCCTGGGATCTGTTGCCACCGGTGGAGGCGCAGCGCGAGTCGGAGCCACACATCATCACCGAGCAGCAGCCCACCAAGTATGTGGTTGGCGTGGAGCAGCCCGGCAGCCACAATATACGCGTGAGCCTGAGCAGCGGCCAGGGCCTGTCGCCCGTGGCGCCGGCACCGCTCAAGCCCGGCCAAGTGGCTGTGGTGCCCGTACCAGTGCGCGACGGACCCGAGGGACATGGCACCAATGCACATGTTGGCACCACCACACCACGCAACGGCGCCAGGTTTCCCAATCGTCATCGCGGCACAGTTCATTACAGCACCGCATCGGCTACACAGCGGCCACGCAGCACCACCACCACCACCACAACCACTAGCACTACTACTACTACCACTACACCTCGACCAACAACAACAACAACAACAACTAGAAGAGCGACCACAACCACCACGCCAGCTACAACCACCACACGCAGCCCTCCACGCTCCACAACGCCCCTGGATCCGTCCACCTTCTATAAGCTGGACAACGAGGAGGCCTACGCCTACACCCTGCCGCCCTGGCTGCAGGAGGTGACCGACCCGGATCTGGATGTCGCTGTCACCTTCATAGTGCCCACCGACAACGATCAGTACAACCACACGGTGCCCGAGGATCTGGAGCCGCCGTTTGAGCCGTTCGTGGACCTGAGCAATATTCAGCTGACACCGCCTCCTGAGAGCAAAAGCACTACCAGCACCACCACCACCACCAGCAGACCCACCACAACAACGAGAACGACACCGACTACGACTACGACGACGACAAGACGTCCGTCGACCACAACAACACAAGCACCCGCACCAATAGCAGCGCGCACCACTCAAGCACCCATTTTCAGAGCACAAACCACCCAATGGTCGCATGCCAAGAACCAATTGATAACAACAACCACAACAACATCCACAGCTCCGCCCTCCGTTGAGCCGAATCCGTTTGACTCGTCCACGTTGCCGCCCTGGCTGCAGGACTTTGACTATCCCGATGTGGGTCCCGGCGTGCCCTATGACCCGGAGAACTTTAAGGATGTGCCGGAAACAAAGCCGGGAGGTATTAAACCTAATGACTTTCAGCCTCATGGTTTTGCCAGTAGATCTCAGTCAAGCGATGCAGCAACCACAACAACAACCACCTCAGTGCCAACAGCATCAACAACAACAACAGCAACAACAACTACTACAACAGTAGCAAACACTGCTAACACTGCTTTCCCATCAAAAGTCACGCTTACGCTTCCAGCCAGCAGCAGCAGCGATGGCCATGGGTTGAACACTGTGGAGCCGCCGCTGGTGCTGATGCCGCCCGTTGCTAGCAGCGACGACTCATCATCAACATTAAGCAGTCCTGCGGCGACTGGCCTCACACAAGATCCTACTACAAACTCCTTAACGCATTTTGCAGAACGCTTCGCTGCGCCACCTGTTGGCCAGATAACGGAAACGAAAAGCGCCGCCGCTGCAGCCGCCGAGCAGCAGTTCCCACCGTTCAGTGCGGCCAGTGCGGGCGACATCCCGAAGGTGGAGTACACCAAGAGCGACGGAGGCAAGGTCATAAGCACGCCCATCAACGTACAGCGTCCGGGTGAGTCTTTGCCTGGAATTGTCTGGCAGATCAAACTAATCCCAATTCTTTTACAGAGCCAGCAGTGGTTAGCACCACATCGGCGTCAGCTACCAATACGGGCAAGTATACGGGCGGATTTGGTGCTCCGGCGGGTCTGCTGCGTCCACTGACCGGCACAAAGCCCGACATCTATGTGGCCGGCAACAACCACGAGTACAGCACCCGCGTCAAGGCCAACAGAGTGCGTCCAGGCGCTGCCACGGAAACAGCCACAGCCGGCAATGGGGGCCGCTACACCGGCGGCTTTGGTGCACCCAGCGGCGTGCTCAGTCCTCAGAATGTGCCCAGACCCTTCCAGCAGTCGCAGCAGTCGCAGCAGTCCAGCTCACAGCCATCCCACTTGGCTGGCGCCGCTTCGAGCCATCATCAGAGCCGCTTCGGCGGTCCGCCTGGCATCCTGGTGCCGTTCGACAATGTGCCGCGCACCGGTGCCAAGTAGGCGGCCAGGGGGCGTGGCGCACATTGTATTGCAACTGCTGCAAGTACTTTAAATTATTTATAAAGCATGTATCTATGTTGAAGATCTTGAATTGAGAGCTCGATCTATACGTAATTAAAGAAAACAACAAATCTGTACGAATTTTGTGTCGCAACAAAAATTGAGATATATATATTGATATATATATATGTATGTATGTGTATATATGCATATACATATATGCGCATACCATGTTAAATGTTATTTACGTAATAAATAAATATTTAGAAAGATAATAAAAGGCATTTTCTATATTTATTTGGGGTTCATTATATCTTTCCTTTTGGGCTTGTAGAAAATAATGTTGAAGATGATAAATGGGCATGTGAGGATATATAATATCAATCATACAATGAGAGAGAATACATTCCACAGTCTTGAATCCTTGCCGAAATTCTCCTCTGGCGCTTACAGCATTATTTGTAGAAGCTTTATATATCGTCTCGATGTTGAAAAGAGAAAAGGAATAAAGAGAGAGATAAAAGAGAGTTATGTCAACCTTAAAATATACTATTTTATAGCCTATGGTAATTTATGTAAGCCTTGGATTTTACAAATGGATTACATGAGTAATAAAATTAAAATGTATTTAATTAATCATTAACGCCTTGCACAAAATATAAAATTTTATTACTATGCCATTTCATAAACTGTAGGCTTATTTTTAGAGTTTATTATTTCGATATTAGTTTTGTAATACATTTACACATTTGATCATCAAAAATACATTAGGCCTATTAGCCAAAATAGGCGTAAAGTTACATTTATTGAATTTTCTACGCAACGAATTACAGAAAAAATAATCGAAAGTAATGGAATCAGATTTAGTCACATGTGCGTGACTTTAATTGTGTAATATTTTGTAAGCCGTATAGTAACATTTTCTTCGAATGATAAATGAAATGAAGCAAATTGTTAATGGCCTTTTGTCAAAGTTTTTTTTTTCGATACCAGTATTTAAATTTATAACAGCTACAGATCTTAATTAAAATAGAACGCTAGATGGCTCTAAATCGCTTTCTGAACTACTGCACCCAACGAAAATTTATTGTAGGTTTAAAATAAATGCATATCTCAATGCTAAATTCACTGTTTAAGATTTGTATACAAAACTAAGTTTATACAATTCAAAGCATAACATAAAAACATAATGTTTATGATATTGCAATGTTTAACCATGTATTTATGTCAATACCGTAAAGTTTCTCAATTAGGAAGCTCAAATATTTTAAAAATAAATATCAGTTAATTGCGCGCTCTTAGTTTCTATGTGTGTGTGCGCTTAAGCTTGAAGAGTTGCTATTCTAATATTTTACAGTCACGTGAAGTTGGTGGCATACAAATGCGCGTGCGTCGCATAGCATTCAGCTTTCTAATGCACTCGTTTTGCTCAAACTTGCGTTGTGGGGTGGGCGTGACGTAAACGTCCTTCATTTGACTTTGAACTCGCCAAACGCGAACGCTCTATCTGAAGACTATTTAGCCAGAGCAGTTGCAGTTGATTCCTGACGGGTGAACTGAGCGAAAGTAAAAGTGTGATCCAGGCAAAGTAAAAAAAAAAAAAAGAAAATTTAATCATGTCGAAGATTGGTATTAATGGATTTGGCCGCATTGGTCGTCTGGTGCTGCGTGCCGCCATCGACAAAGGCGCCAGCGTCGTTGCTGTAAGTAAAGAAAAAGCCGCTAAAATGTAATTGCGAAAAGAAAAATGTGTGAAATTTTCTTGGATTTGTGTAATTTGCAGGTTAACGATCCCTTCATCGATGTGAACTACATGGTCTACTTGTTCAAGTTCGATTCCACTCACGGCCGTTTCAAGGGCACCGTCTCCGCCGAGGGCGGCTTCCTGGTCGTCAATGGCCAGAAGATCACCGTGTTCAGTGAACGCGACCCCGCTAACATCAACTGGGCCAGCGCTGGCGCTGAGTATGTGGTTGAGTCCACTGGTGTCTTCACCACCACCGAGAAGGCCTCCACTCACTTGAAGGGCGGTGCCAAGAAGGTTGTCATCTCGGCTCCATCTGCCGATGCGCCCATGTTCGTGTGCGGCGTGAACTTGGATGCTTACAGCCCCGACATGAAGGTCGTGTCGAACGCCTCTTGCACCACCAACTGCTTGGCCCCATTGGCTAAGGTTATCAACGATAACTTCGAGATTGTGGAGGGTCTGATGACCACGGTGCATGCCACCACAGCCACCCAGAAGACCGTCGATGGCCCCTCCGGCAAGTTGTGGCGCGATGGCCGTGGTGCTGCCCAAAACATCATTCCAGCATCCACTGGCGCCGCCAAGGCCGTCGGCAAAGTCATTCCAGCTCTGAATGGCAAACTGACTGGCATGGCTTTCCGTGTGCCCACACCAAATGTGTCCGTTGTCGATTTGACTGTCCGCCTGGGCAAGGGCGCCACCTACGATGAAATCAAGGCTAAGGTACAGGAGGCCGCCAACGGTCCATTGAAGGGCATTCTGGGCTACACCGATGAGGAGGTCGTCTCCACTGACTTCCTCAGCGACACTCACTCGTCTGTGTTCGACGCCAAGGCTGGCATCTCTCTCAACGATAAGTTCGTCAAGCTGATTTCCTGGTACGACAACGAGTTCGGTTACTCCAACCGTGTCATTGACTTGATCAAGTACATGCAGAGCAAGGATTAAATCAATAAATAGCAGATCCAGCTAATACAATGTTAACTTCTCAATACGCACAAACAGGAGGTGTAGCATTTACATAACTATATAGATGAGAAGGCTCCGATATTCGCCCACATGAACACTCAGCCACCCAATAAATACATATACATACACAAACACACTTACACACGCTTATAAGTTTATTGTGACATATGTGAATATGTATGTGCATACATATGTATTAGCATATGTTTTGTATTGTATTTCCAACAGCTCTTCTCTCTCCTGTTTGATGAACCGCGCAAATACAGTTACATCAGTTATATAACCTAATCTCGTTACAAATAAATAAAAATAAAAACAAAAACCTAGAATTTCAGCCTTTTCATTCAATTTATGAAATTGAGTGGGTTCAAAAGGTCTATTGATTTTTCAGCCAGCTGAGAATGAAGGAAGTAAAGATCTCTCTAGTCGCTGAGCTGACTTGGCAACTATCAAACACACAAATGAAATAAATGCATAATAGTGCGTACGTACATACACATATACATATAAAAAGAACATAGGAGACAACTAGAAAATATAAAAATACACATATGTATGTACATATATATTTGTATATATTGAGATTCATAGGTAGATATGTTTGTAAGATTGTCAATGCACCTATATGTATGTAAATAAAATTTTATATATGGACACTCAGGCAAAAGCTGGTTGCTTTGAAACTGCCGGCCAACCAGCATAAATGCCCTTGACATTGAACTTCTCAAAGTGACTCCGTAGGTATGATAAGAATATAGGTAAATATTTTTGTAAGCTTACAGTTATTCTCAATCCATGTATATAACATTTGACATTATTATTAAAGGAGATTTGGGCAGAGGTATCTTATACATTTGGTTGTACGTGTGAAAATTCATGTAGCCTAACAGTGCCATTTTGAGTATAATGTTATTATAAAAGCTTACGTGCAATAGTTACCAGTAAAATGAAATAGAAATGATTAATGAAACGGTCTACACGGTTCGGCTGGATATTAAACGAATGAAGCATATTCCGAGAAAAAATAAAACTATACAATTTCATCATTATTATTATTTGTTACAAATGTCTTAAGCATACTTTCTAACTCGAATTGGGACAACATCGCCCATATTTATTACCAAGTCGTTATTATTATAGTATTTCGAAGTGCACCTATCATTATAAAATTATAATAATCATGATCTTTAATAATATTATTGAGTATAAATGTTTTGAAAATATAAGCTTTATAAATGTTGTGAAAATATAAGCATTACTTAAAAATCAATAATTAATGGTAATTATCCTTATTATTATTATTATTTTATATTATTATTATTATTATGTTACTAATGATTATTTAGCTCAGAATTATAACTTAGAAGTCACAAGATGACAACGATAATAATTATTTAAACAAATTTATTTTGGAATAGTTTTCAATTTTAATATCTTTATTTCAATTCACATAATATAATTATTATTGTATTGTATGTATTGTTAATTATTCGCTTTTTATTATTATAAAATTTCTTTAACAATAAATAAAATTACTATTTAGTTGTAAAACAATTTTTACAAATATATAAATATAATTACAATAATATATTAAAAATATTTACTATTATTAACAATTTAAAAAAAATTAAATTATTATAAATTATAATACATTATTAAAATTCACTTAATATATTTAATATTAGTAACTAAATTTTGGTACATACCACACAAGCTCGCAGGAGAAGAAGAAGAGGAGCTCTTATCACTAGGTGTCCCAGAATGCAACTGAAACGATCTGCAGTGGGCTTCCCTTTATATGGGACAAGCATCACTGATGGTACGATGGAATTGGACTGACCATACAAAATACACATAAAGAGAACTAAGAACTGAGAACTGAGTTGGGCTGCAGAGCTCAAGGCTAAGTTTGATGCTCAATGTGCGATCTAACAGACAGAGAGGCGGTCATATAGAGTATGCTTGAGCTCATTCGTATAGTCTAAGCACTCAGAGCACATAAATGGAATAAAGTGAACTAGCTCTACGCTCTTGTTTGACACTATAGAATATGATTAATTCAATTAAAATGATATATGAAAACAGCAAAGAAAATTATGGTTGTCAAATTATACTAACAAATTAAATAGTAACAGACTAAGGCATAGAGAATTGGAGAGGTTTTCAATTGGCACATACAGTGCCGGAAAACTGAATAGGTTAGACATTTTTCAAGCTTAAAATGTTATATATGTTATATATGTTATTTATATAGAATATACATATATATAACGCATATACATTCTTATATGCAAATACATAAATATATTTATACATATATAAGTCATATTCAACAGGTACCCCCAATATTTTTTAAGGACAATCTGATTGCATGCCGAGCGGATTGCGAGTTGCACCCACAACAATGAAACAATTGAAACGATTAGAAGGCTGCTCCCTTTAGAGACGCCTCAATTTGTCAACAGAATTGGAAATGTCGTAAATCCAAATAAACATGCATTAAACTCTAACCCACATACAATATTTTCGATTATGGCCAACAAGAAGAGGAGCAGACATCGAGTGGATGTGGCGGGCAGACAGACGATTCGGTGCTCTCTTAACTTGAACGTATGCAAATATCATAATTCTTCCATCATGTCTGCAACATCATAAAGCAGCATGGCGAAGGCAGAAGGCAGATGTCAGGTCGACCCAAGACACAACGTTTCAATAGGCCGCAAATATGACTTGGCCTGGCTTGGTCTGGGCTGTCCTAGCCTGTCCTGGTCTGATGGCGCATGTAAGGCAACACTGCAGCCGATTGCTTATGAGGGCAACCGAAACAAAAATTGTTTCGGCATGCCGCGAAGGTTGCTGCCACAAGCAAATGAGTGGGGAACACGCAACGTTTTGCATTTAGTTTTTGGGTGGCGGGGGGAGCATGGAGTGGCGGGGAAGACTGGTGGGAGGGCGGTAGGGCGGTGTCTCAGACATCAAACTTATTTATTTACTCTAAAAACAATACAAGAAAATTAATAGCAATTTGCATAGTTTCATAAATATGTTGCAATAAATGTTCTTAACAAGTGAACACTATTCGGGTTACCATAAATGGGAAAGCCTTTTGGCATTAATAAGGCCTCACCTTTGCCATCTCGTATTGATTGGCCTAAACGTGTTGTCTGTGTGTCTGTCTGTCTGGGTTGCCCTATCAGCCGTCATTTAATTGACTTTGTTTGTGGCTTCATCAGAAAGCCATTTGAGCCAATGTGCGTGCCGTCAATTAAAGTTTGTTAGCGAAACATTCAGTGTCTTTAATTAAGTATTGCTGGGGGCAGGTGTATGCACACACATACATACGTAGGCCGGCAGAAGTTGCATAAAAATTAGCTGCAGTTATTAATTTTTTAGAAAGAGGAGAATAAAGTTGTAGTTTTTTTTGGGGGGAGGTCTGCAAACATGAAAGTAAATTGTTGAGATATTAAAACGAGTTTATTGAAGTTTATTGGGACTTGTCAGCGCATGCAAACCAAGTCACAAAAGCCACAACAACCGACAGCAACAACAACAAAGAAACAACACAACAGAAAGTCAAGAGAAGGCAGCCTACAAAATTATGAAAGAGTAAACGGTTTAGTTTGAAATTGACTACTGAGGCGAGCAGACCGGCGAAGAATTATTATTTAACTATTTTTTTTTTTGTAGATATATATATTCCTTACATATGTAATAGTAAATATGCAGTTAGGCAACAGTGTTTTATAGCAATAAATAATTTTAAAATATAAAAAGTCTAAAGATGATTTAATATATAAATAAAATACAAATTAAAAAAAAAAAAAAAATAAATATTACAAACATGTAATAAAAAAAAATTAAAAATAAACCAAATTAAATGTATGTAAATTACAGAAATAGAATTAAAATATAAATAGTACTACAAAAATATTTGTTTAAAGTATAAAATAATATTATTCAAAAGAAAAATAAAATATAAAAATAAAAGTACTAAATTATTTAATTCAATAAAAATATTTCAAGTGCATTGAAAACTTTAAAAATCCATAACAATTTAGTCTTTTTAAATACTTTAATTTCAAGACGTTTTAAAAATGCCTCGAAAAAAGCAAAAAGTGGATACACTTGAGGAAATTGAAACCACAATTAAATTACTCTGCGATCAGTCCAATAATCATATGAAAGTGCGTGAATATTATAAAGCACTAAAAGGCTACAATAAGGTAAGTGAACAGCAATCGCTTTTGATTTGCTCAATATTTCAAATGCAACGTCTGAAAATTGAAACGAACTGTAGATGGCGCTAGTAAATGTTGGCAAAGCTCATTTGCGAGCGCTGCAATGTTTTGGTATGTTTGCGAGCTTTACTTTAACTGCCAATTGGGAAATTCCTTTAACGGTGGGGCATGAAGAGGATGTGCCGACAAAGTAATACTCTATAAATTAAGTGTGAAAATTCACAAGGATTTCATGAGTTATAGCTAAAATAAGCAAAATTGATTTGGCTTGCATATATATAGCAATTTGAATTGATGGGCAACATATCAATTGTAGTGCATTTATTTATATAGATCTTATTTTCAGCGCGATGTGTTTGGGATTTATTTATAAATTGAGTATATATGTTGATCAGTATCACTAAGAAAATAATAAGCTCATTCATCTTATTCAATATATAATCAAATTTGATAAAATAATCGGTTTGTTGTTAATAATATATAAAATGCAAAATTAAGTTTTTGCACTTAGAACAAACAATGACTAAAACTGAATATCGGATAAGGCTGATAAGGCAAAAACCAACTGCTTTTACTCTTGATTGGAAGAGCCTCGCATACAAAAGTTAGCTGGATGCTGTTATTTCAACGGTATTTCTATGCTCACATGTTCCAATGACTTGAGAGATAATGATAAATATTCAGATTTAATTTGTTATCACTTCAGTAATTCAGCCTTGCACATATCCCAACTTTATGTGGATTAAATTATGGGAATAAGAATAATAGCGAAGCTGTCCTGAAAAATAGATATACCACCTATCATATATATGTATGCATATACGTTGATAATCAAAATCATTTCAATGTCATCAATTTTGGCTCCGCTCCCACGCCACGTGCTACTTCTGGTATTTGTTTTGCTATCGATTGTTAGCCCATATTTAGGGCTGGCCTTAGTTTCCTGGCAACTGGGCAAATGGCAAATCAATTACCGTTTGTTTGGAACTGTCAGGAAAGGTGTGAATTTTTCACACTTGCACTGCGCTTCGAGCTGTTCAATTGGTTGGCTAAGGATTCATTTCTGTGACCATGTCCACGAGTGTGTTGAACACGATTTTGGCTGTGGACAAGGAGCAGGAGCTGCTGCAGAGCTTCATACGCACTGGCGCCGCTGCGGAGGAGGAGTCATTGGATGAGTCGAACAAAAGGTCAAAGGGTCGCAGTCGTGCCTCCCACAAGCCGCCCATCTGGGAGAGACGCGACTCGTATGGCGGCGGCGGCGGTGCCGGCGGTGCTGGCAAATCCTCCTCAGATCGTGCCGCTCGGCGAACCAGCAAGCATCCGGATGATTTGGATGCTGGCGGCTCCAAGCGGGGCAATCGCATCGAGGCCGAACTGCGCGCCGCACGCAAACGCATCGAGGAGCAAATGCTGAAGAAAAAGAAGCCCAAGGAGAACTTCGTGGACTTCTACACGGACAAGGATCGGGCGGCGGCAGTCAGTGCGGGCGCCTTCGACATCAAGCAGAGTCTGCAGATCAAACAGAAACAGGATCGCAACGAGGCGCTGCTCATACCCGACGAGGCCGACATCAGCTCGATCATTGCGCTCGGCTTGAAGGAGATCAAAAATGCAAATCCCGAGAATGCAATACATTTCTTTTGCAAGGTTACAAGACTAAAGAGATGATATATATATATCCATATAGTGAAAGAGATTAAATATATATATTTTGAATTAATTTCAATTTCTCTTCATTCACAGGCATTGGAGCTGAATAACACGGACATCAATGCCCTAATCTCGCGCAGCAAATGCTATTTGCTGCTGGGCGAGGCATCCAAGGCGCTGCAGGATGCGGAGACGGCGCTCGCTGAGGACAAGAACAACATACGCGCCATCTACCAAAAGGCCGAGTCGCTCTACTACCTCGGCCAGTTCGAGCAGAGTCTGATGTTCTTCCATCGCGGCCTGCGCGCACGGCCGGAGCTCGCGCTGTTCCGCCTGGGCGTGCAGAAGACCCAGGAGGCCATTGAGAATACCATTGGCACCAAGACGCGCGCCAATCAGCCGTCGGCCACGGCCAAGAGCGGCGTCTCACGCAAATCGGGCGACAACACGCCCAAGTCACAGGCCCAGTCGCAGTCGCAGCCCGGACGCCAGAGGGCCACCAAGGCGGATCTGGAACGGCGCAATGCACGCAAGCTGCTGGGCGAGCTGTGCGTGGACAAGGAGTACCTGGAGAAGCTGCTGCTGCATCCGGATCTGATACGCGCCGACACCAACACTGAGAATATATCTGCCCTGGCCAAAGAGGCGGTTTGCTTCCTCAACAAGCGCCAGGAGTTCTGGCGCCAGCAGAGACCCTGCACAGCGCTGCCCAATCATAAGAATCTGCCCAATGATGCAATTCCCAAGTGGTTCTAGATGGCCTAACAGTTTAATAATATCAAGTAGACAAAGATCTCTGCTAGACTTCATCATATCACAAGCCTTTATCAAATGCTTCCCTTAGCTAAATAGTTGTAGATTAAAAACTAGATGTGATTAAGTGTTACGTTTTCCGTTTTGATTTCAAGTTAGAAACTAAAAAATAGATAAATAGTGATAATGATGATGATGATAATGATAAAAAAAGATAAATAAAAATAGATAAATAATAAGATCTGATAAATTATTAATATTTATGTTAACTTGATTGGTATTCCATACCAAAGATCTCTCCTAGACTCTTTCAAATCAGAAATGCTTAATAATATTGCTAATAGTTTTCATAAAAAATATAATTGATTAAGTGTTAAGTTTTTTTTTTTTTTTTTTAATAATAAATCAAATAAAGTTGTACTTGAGTCTTTTAAAAATCTTGTGAACAACTGAATATTTTTTTTTATATATATTATATTTATTGATTTGCTTTTCGTTTGGATGATTAAACATTTATACAATTTGCACATTTTGTGTAACATTAACATTTAAATATAGCATTTGCATTTGCATTTTCTTTGATATTCTTTTCGTATATGTATGCATTTGTGTGTGTGTGTGTTGTGTGTGTTTGAGTGCTTTTTGCCTTTAACCAAGTAAAGTCTAATGCAATAAATATGTTTTAGTTGTACAATTCAACTCATTGTAGATATCAACATATGTATAAGGTAAGTTTCTTCACATGATAGAGTTTAGTTTCATTTAATATTTGTTTTATTATACTTATAATTGTTTAGTTTGCTCTTCTTGGGGCAAAGTTTGATAACAGAATTTAGGTTTTTAGTTAGAGCATTGCGTGGCTAAAGCTTTAACTGCAACTAACAAAAGTATTATTTAGCTGTTCATTTTAGTTGTTTTATGTTCATTGTTAATACTTTTGGCTACTATATTTTGTTTATTTCATAATTTGACTAGTACCGGCTACATACATTAAACATAGTTTAAATTTAATTCAATACTTTATTATATTTATATGTTTTTTTTGTTCATTTCGCGCAACATAAATACGTATATAATTATTATTAGTTATTTGGTGCTTTTGTGAGTACGTTCGGCAGGTGTTGGTTAAATAATCAAGCCCTTATTCAACAAAAAAAAAGGGTAAACATTTAACATTTTCAATTTAAATGCAACAAACGAAACAAATTTTGATTTATAATCTTCTCTGTATGCCTTATGTATGCATATAACACCAATTTCGATTTAGTTTTCATTTCAATTTCAATTCAATTCATGCCTCATGACTGACAACTCATGATATCTACAATACAGTTGGCAAAAATATATATATTTATAACATATCTCTTTATAGTTAGTTATGCGACTTCCAACGATAAATACAACAACTCGGAATGTAATATAGTAGACTGCCAGTATATTAAGTATTAAGTGCTCCACAAAGATCTGCAAGTAAAATAATAATAAGAATAGGTTAATATAATTAATTTAAATATAAATATATTACATTGTTTATCTTAAATATCTATTTTATAAAACATTTCTTAAATGCCTTGCTTAACAAAAAATATGTTTGCCAGCTTCTAATGTGCAGCCAGTTTGAAACAAGCATTTAGCTGCCAAGTACCCAGCCTCCCATATGGTCTAGTGGCTAGGATATCTGGCTTTCACCCAGAAGGCCCGGGTTCGATTCCCGGTATGGGAAGGAATTTTTTTTTTTTTTAATTTTTATATTTTTAATTTTTATGTTATCTTTTTAAAATGTATATAATCATATACAGTATATTTATATACTTATAAGCATATACATACTTTTCATAATAAATATATATTGCTACCATAAGCATATTTAGTACACATATGTAAAAATGAATTTAGTACACATGCTAGCAAATTTAGTACACACACGATAGATAATACTCATTTAAAAAGATAGACATTATTAATTCTGTTTATTTTTGGATACACAGATACCTAATATTTTCAATTGAAGCCAATCTAGTCCCAATCCCATTCCCTTCCCAGTTTACTCACCCTGTGGCATCCTGTTTTTAGTTGTTTGTGGGGCGTGTGGGAAGCGGGGGCGCGTTTCCACTACGATTTGGTATTGGCGGTGGTCCACGGCCACGATTGG